CAGCACGAAAATCATAGAATAAATAATTCTGACAATTCCATTAGCATCTTTGTATTTAAAATTTGCATTCCTTTTTGTTAAGATGAAGTTTTTAATGCAAACGAAATTTTTTTATCTTTAAATTTGTTAAAGAAATAGAATAAACAACAATTGGTCGTATGACAAGTTAGTTAAACTATAATTAAGTTTAAATATTAATACTTTTTATAAAAAATATATTTTGCAACTAATGTATTGTAAAACTACTTAAATTGTAAAAATAGATAAGTAACTGTTAGGGTAGATAATGAAGTTTGCATATAATATAAACAGAAGATGATACAGTAGTTGGCCGTAGGAAATTATGATGATTAATTGATAAAAACGGGGCTAACTTTTTTCGAACAAAATTAAATCAATCTTACCTAAACAGAATAAAGACAACCATTCATTTTAATTTATGACTTGTAGAGAGAGGTCAATTTTTTGCTTACTTGCTTGTTTGTTTGTTTGCTTACTGTTGATTGATAGGATTAGATTAATCCTCGCTAAATAATATAAAGTCAATGTTTTTCGATATCTTTTTGGTTTGTAGTTTAATCGATAGAAAGAATTTCATCTTTTCTCTATGGTACGGGATCAGTCTTTTCTGTTAGAAGAAGGTCAATCTTTTTTTTTGCAATAAATAAGCTTTTTTTTGCAATTCTTAAACCAGTTAATTTCAATTTTTTGCATTTTATTAATTATATTGATAAAATCAAAATCATTAATGCATTTCATGTCATTCTCTTGCAAATTCATCAGCTGAGAAGGTTGGTTACTTTTAGCTTCCCAAATTTGAAATTATCATTTGTGTTTTTCAATTTAAGAAAAATAAATGTATGAGAAAGAAGCGAAGATTGTAAAAGAAAAAAGTGTAAGATGAGGATTTTTTTTTTGATTTTGGCAAGATATGTCAAGAAAATATTTTCAAAATTAGATGAAATTTTAGTTTAAAAATCCTTCAAATGTACACTTATATTTGTTAGAATTTGGTTTAGCATGTAGAACTTACATTTATTGTAATAATCGCAGTAATAAGAATAATTAATGCTAGCATATTAATTAATTTATAACAATGTTTTATACAGCTTACATATAATCTGTTAATGTTAAATTGATGAAAAAATTATAGCAATCTGTGCTTTTGAAATTTGACAAAGATTTTTTTAACCATAATTTTTTTAAAATCATAGCAATTGTGATAAATTTATTACTTTCAATCATTATCTGTAAAATAGTGAAATTGTTTTTTGGAAACAAAAAAAAAGGAAAAATGCCGGATGGTGAATATCGGACTAAATATTCCGCGGCACAAAAGATGCAATTGCTAAAATCACAACAAGCAAAATTGGAAATTCGAGCAATGCCAGCACATTCACAATTAAAACTTAAAGTAATTATATATATATACAATATATTTATATGACAATTTAATTACTAAACTAATAAAATGTTTATAATTGAAAGGAACATGACAAGAAAACGAAGAAGAAACGAAAGAAGAAGATAGCAAAGAGTATGTATGAAAACATTTATTATGTTCAGCAATTTTGGCCAATAAAATTTTTATTCTCGAATTTTATTTAATTCTCATTCAATCACTGAATCCATCTCCTCCTTCTTCCTTTTCCTTTTTCCATCCTTCCTTCTTCCACTAAGCATATTTAAAATAAATTTTGTTTTCATCAAATAAAATAAAAATTTCAATTCCCATACTTGTACATAAGTATGTTCATGAACCAAATTTCGGCATATTAAAAATAAGTATAAAAGCTTAATTAATTAACAATTTATTTTCCTTTGCAGAGAAGGCACGAAAACTAAAGCTATCGTTGGATGCTGCTGATTGTTAGGAAATCATTCTGTTATGATTATGATTTCAGTTATCATTTATTGATGATATTAAAATTATTTGAGTTCAATTATTAAGTAATTATAGTAATAAGAGGGATTTCTTATGACTAAATTAGTTTAAATTAATGAAAAAAATTGAATTCCGAAAGAAAAAAAAGCGGCGAAAAAAAGATTTCTAGCAAGCAGTTCCTCGAAATCAAAGGTATCATTAGCATCAACTGGTAGCAGTATCGCTATTCCACGATCGCCATCACATAAAAGTGATGCGCAGGTGATGAAATTGATTTATCAATCTCTAAACTTTTATGCTTGCCTCGCTGTAAAACAAATGTTTTTTTGAATCCTGCTTTGTTGGATACCTTACATATCACACGTGTACTTTACGTGTTATTATTAAGAAATTGACAATTTTTTTTGAAAAAATATCTCATTACAAAATTTGTTCAAAATTATTCGAAAAAGGAAGAAAGTTTCAGCCAATGGTAAGCTTTATCACAAATTAAATTTAGTATTTGAAATCATTTAAGCATTAAAATATATGTGCAAAAATACAATGGCAAAAAAAATATGAAACCAAATTAATTATTGCACAAAAAAAAATGTGAAACCAAATTAATTATTACAATTTTGTTTATATACGAATTAATGCAAATACGAAAATCACATTTCACATTTGTTAAAAGTCAATAATAATACCATTAATAATTATTACACAAAAAAGCAAATATTTGAATTGATATAAATAATAAAAGGAATAGAACTATGCAAATCTTTAAAATATCATACTTAAAACTAACTTATTTAAACGAATAACAAAAATTTAGTCGAGACGAACAAAAATCAAAGAAGTTAAACGAAAAAGGATTTACTAAAAGCTCAAGCAAAATGTTCTCTAAATTAAAAATATAAAATCTGATTGCTAATATTACATTAGGGTGATTGTAATCATGCAATATTCGCTAAATTTTCGACAATCTTTTCAGCTTCCGATATCGAAAGATGAGGAAGAAAATGCACTGAAATGGAAACATCGAACGAAATACATTTATGAAGCTGAACGCATTTCAATGTTAATTTAAAAAAAAGAAACTTATTCAATTTTTTCTCTTTCCTCATTTTTAACTCATAGTTTTTTTTTTCCTTTAGACTTTTTTTTTGATTTTTATTTCATCTATGACGTTTAGTGTTTTTTTTTCCTTGCCTAATTGAAATTCTTGTTGCCCTTCTTGATTCTTATTCAAAAATCAAGTACATAAAATAATTTCGAATATATTTTTAT